AGTGGGTGACTGGTTTTTACAGGTGTCATCACTGGCATCTCAGTGGGCGACTGGTTTTTACAGGTGTCACCACTGGCGCTGCAGCCACCAAGATAACTCTGTCCAACGTCCCCCCGTTTATCAGCGACGAGTTTCTGATAAAGGAGTTGTCCAGACACGGGAAGGTGGTGTCCCCGATTAAAAAAGTGTTGACGGGGTGTAAATCACCACTTCTCAAACACGTTGTCTCCCACAGGAGAACACTGTTCATGGTTCTGAACAAGCGGGGGGAAGAGTTTAATGTGCAATTACATGTTAAACTGGATGATTTTGAATATCTTTTATTCACTACTTCTGCGAATATGAAATGTTTTGGATGTGGCCAGGAGGGGCACGCAATAAAAATGTGCACAAACAGGGCCGGGCTGGCTCCGCCCGCTGCTGCGAGGAACCCCACGGCTGCGGCCGGGGGGTTCCCCGCTGGGGGAATGGAGCTGGGGGCCCCAACCCAGATGAAGAAACGAGGGAAAAGAAAAAATATTGAAGTTGCTGCACGGGCCAGCAAGATGTGTGCAGAGATGAAGGAGGGAGCAGAGAGCAGTGACAGTAAGGGCTGGTGCTCTGACTTCAGTGAAGCCTCTGTCTCACAGGCTGACAGCACTGAACCCCGGTACCCTGTAGAATCCTTCCTGTCCTTCCTCAAGCAAACCAAAGGGCTGAGAGGAGTTAAAGTTGAAAGTTATTTTCCTAACCTGAGAACATTTTATTTCTCAGCCAGACATCACATCAGACACAAAGAAGAGTCCGGTTTTACAGATCAAGAAACATTCAGATTAAAGAAAATAATGAGCAAAGTCAGAAAACAATTCTGAACAAATGATGAACAGCAGCATTTTAATATTTCTTATAGTCTTTTTGTACACGCTTTTAAACCTCTCACTCACCATGGATGCTTTTAAAATAGCATCATTAAACCTGAACGGGGCCAGAGAGGCTGTGAAGCGCGCACTGGTTTACCAAACCATAAAGTATAAAAAAAATGGACATTTTATTTTTACAAGAGACGCACAGTGATCCATCCAATGAGACAGCGTGGTGCAGCGAGTGGGAAGAGGAGGCCATTTTTAGCCACGGCACCTCCCAGAGTGCAGGAGTGGGACTCCTCTTCTCTAAAGCTTTTACTCCCAGCCACATAGAGGAGGTGCAACACATTGTTCAGGGAAGGTGTCTTTTAGTCAAAGCTGGGTTTGAACATTTTAATGTAACTTTTATTAATATTTATGCTCCCACTGCCAATGCAGAGAAACAATGTTTTTTAGAAAAAATTGGGGAAAGGTTGGGAGATTGTGGGTCTGAGGATCATGTTTTTATAGGAGGGGATTTTAATTGTACTGAAAACGAGTTTTTAGACTGCAATCATGCAGAGCCTCATCCAGCAGCCCAGCGCGCTCTGCGGCAGCTGGTCTCGTCTCGTGGCCTGGTGGACGTATGGAGGAGGATGCACACAGGCTCCAGACAGTGCACGTGGTCCCACTGTAAAGAGAATCGCATTTCTTTGGCTCGCCTTGACCGGTTTTATTGTTTTAAACATCATTTTAACGTGTTTAAAGCCTGTCGGATTTTAACAGTAGCTTTTACGGATCATTCGCTGGTTTTAGGTTTTTATCAGAAACATCTTACCTAAGAGCGCCTACTGGCATTTTAACTCCGTTTTAACTTATGACCGTAGTTTTAAGGAGATTCTGAGTTATTTTATGAAGGTTTTTAGACAGAGGAAGGGTGATTTTACTTGTCTGCAACAGCGGTGGGACCACGGGAAAGTACAAATAAAACAGCTGTGTCAACAGCACATGCTCAATGTTACTGGCAACATCACAAGATCTATCAAAGATCTGGAGACTGATGTAGTGGAACTAGAGCACCTCAGTGAAACCACAGGAAATCGAGAGCACATTGAAGCCCTCAAATCTAAAAGGTTAGTTTTAACAAACCTGCTGGACGCAAAAGTCCAGGGTGCGTTGGTCAGGTCGTGGATGCAGAACATCACAGAGATGGATGCACCTTCCAGCTTCTTCTTCAGCCTGGAGAGGAAGCACGGGCAGAGAAAACTCATCCACTCTCTGTTGTCGGACACCGGGCAGCAGCTGAGTGAGCCGAGCCAGATCAGGAGGAGGGCTGTGGAGTTTTACTCCTCGTTATTCAAAAGTGAATACAAGAGGAACGACGAGCTGTTCAGGGAGTTCTGCAGTGGACTACCCCAGGTCTCTGAGGAGACCAACGCTGACCTGGAGCACCCCCTTGGGCTTCAGGAGCTCCACGCAGCCCTCCAGAACATGCAAGGCCAGAAAGCTCCCGGCGTCGACGGACTCACTGTGGAGTTCTATAAGGCCTACTGGGACATCCTGGCAGAGGATCTGCTCCATGTCTTCAGTGAAAGCCTGACCACTGGTTTGCTCCCGCTGTCGTGCCGCAGAGCGGTCGTCACCCTCCTGCCCAAAAAAGGGAACCTGCAGGAGATGAAGAATTGGCGCCCGGTGTCCCTTCTCTGCACCGACTACAAAATCTTCTCCAAGGTCCTGGCAACCAGGATGAGAGAAGCAATGGAACAGGTCATCCATCGAGACCAGACTTATTGCATCCCCAGCAGGTCCATGGTAGATAATATCTACCTGATTCGAGATGTTTTGGAAGTCTCCAGTTCATTGGGTCTGAACACAGCGTTGGTCTCACTTGACCAAGAAAAGGCTTTTGACCGCGTTGAGCACAGCTTCCTCTGGGAAACCATGGAGGGGTTCGGGTTCAGCGCTGGTTTCATAGCCAAGGTCCAGGTGCTGTACAGTAACATTGAGAGTGTGCTGAAAGTCAACGGTAGCCTGTGTGCTCCTTTTAGGGTGTATAGAGGTGTTCAGCAGGGCTGTGTGCTCTCTGGAATGCTCTATGCGCTCTCCCTGGAACCCCTCCTTAAAAAGATCTGTTCAAGTGTTCGTGGTTTAGTTTTACCTGGTTTTAACAGTAACATAATTTTATCTGCCTACGCTGATGACGTTGTTGTTTTTATAAAAAACCAACAAGATGCCGACACACTAAGTGAGGTCACTGAGAGTTTTTCCACCCTGGCTGCTGCAAGGGTGAACTGGGTAAAGAGCACAGCCTTCACTGTGGGTGAGTGGCCTGAAGGGCTCCCAGTTCTCCCTCAAAACCTCCCGTGGAAGAGAGACGGGCTTAAATACCTCGGCATCCATCTAGGGGATAAAGCTCAACTGCAAAAGAACTGGGAAAATGTGGAACAAAAGGTCAGGAGCAAATTAGAAAAATGGAAATGGCTACACACTCAAATGTCCTACAGAGGCAGAGTGTTGGTTTTAAACAACCTGGTCGCATCACAACTGTGGCACAAACTTTGTGTTTTAGACCCACCTCCAGGCCTGTTGGTAAAGATCCAGTCTGAGATGGTGGAGTTCTTTTGGAAAGGTTGACATTGGGTGCCACAGTCTGTGCTGTTTTTACCGAGAGAGGAGGGGGGACAGGGCCTTGTCCACCTGGCCAGCAGAACGGCTACGTTTCGATTACAGTTCCTCCAGAAATACCTGGCAGGACCTCCTGACACTGTGTGGAGGGACGTGGCCAGCTGCATTCTTAGACGTGTGAGCGGGTTGGGGCTGGATGCTGCTCAGTTTCTGACCAATGTTAGCCTTTTAAAGTTAAAGAGGTTACCCCAGTTTTATCAGAGTGTTTTTAAATTGTTTTCCTTTTTTAACCCAAACAGATCAAGAACGTATAAGTCTCTGCATTGGCTTTTAGAGGAACCACTAATCTGTGGTGCAAGACTGGACGTTTCTAATAGCACGGTACCAGGTCTGTCAGGGGTGCTGTGCGGGTCTGGGACGGTGACTCTGAGGCGGCTGGTGGAGACGGCCGGACCAGACTTGTCCAGTGTCCAAGAGGTGCTTTCATTGCTTGGAGTCCGGTCTGCCAGGCTGGTGCGGCGCTTCCTGGACCGGGTGAAGGAGAGGATCACAGCAGGGGAGGAGCGTCTCCTGCAGCTGTGGTCCGGGGGAGATCACCTGCCTGACCCAATGGACCTCTTCCTGGACATCAACCTAGATCCCGACTTCGCGGACAGTAGTGGACCTCTGTTGTGCAACACGGACCCACAAATAGACTTGTGCAGAACGGGTCCAAAAGTGCTCTATAAGACTTGTGTTAAAGTCCTAAACAAGAGAACTCTGCACAACAGAGCTGTCAGTGTGTGGGACGGCAAGCTTGGAGGACAGAAGTCCCAGTGGAGGACGCTTTACAAACCTCCCATAAAAAAACGGACTGGTGATCTCCAATGGAGGATCCTTCATGGCGCCATCGCAACGAACTCTTTCCTATCGATCATCAGTCCTGAGGTTTTAAACGAGTGTCCTTTTTGCAGTTTGTCCGAGAGTGTTTTTCATGTTTTTATGGATTGTGTACGACGGACTGCTCTTTTTAACCTAATGACGAGGACTTTTAGCTTTTTTGATACCATTTTTACCAAATCTGTTTTTATTAATTGTGTATATTACAGCAAAGCCACTAAGAGTAAATCCAGAATTTTAAACTTTTTAGTTGCCAAAGCCAAAATGGCAATGTATTTATCTCGCAGAGACAGACTGCAGGCTGGACCTCAACTTGACGCCGTGTCTCTGTGGAAGTGCAACATCAAGGCCAGACTGGTGTTGGAGTTTTGCTTCCACAGAGACACTGGAGACTTGGACAACTTTGTGGAACTGTGGGGCTTTAAAAAGGTTTTATGTACAGTTTCTGACAAAGGAGAACTAAAATACAACAAACTCCTCATGTGAACACTGTTAAGAAAAAAAAAAAACCTTAACATGATGATGTTTTTAACATTGTTTTATTAATTTATTGTGCAAATAAATTTTTGTAAAAAATCAAAAAATCAATCCTTCCTTCCTTCCTTCCTTCCTTCCTTCCTTCCTTCCTTCCTTCCTTCCTTCCTCCCTCCCTTCCTCCCTCCCTCCCAATAATGGTGACCATAGCCCATACACATGTCACCATCATGTCTTAATATGGCTGGATTTGTTGCGTAACCAGGTATCACACAATATTTTGTTGTGATTGACATAACGATCAACACTGATACCAAATGAGTACATCTTAATGCATCAAATTAGACATTATGGTATTGATAGCAACACCAAACAAAATACATCTAAATTCATCAAACTAAATGTTACAATGATTGAAACAATCATTTTTAACAAGGAAAATACTGATTATACTGATTAAAATACAGATTATTTGTAAGCCCAGTTCATACTTCTTTAAGTTTCCCTCCTAAAAGTCAGTTTGAAGGGTTACATAGCTCCATCCTTTCACACTGTCCGTACATCAAAATAAACTCTCCGGCTCCCAGGTGTAAACGTACAGAAGAGAGGCAGTTCTGGTGATCAGACTGTTGAACCCAAAATGTTGTCTCAAACATACTGAATTTCTCAAACCTCATAAATTCCTTACAGTTTCTGAGAAGATGTACTAGCATCTCTAACCCTGGTATTTCTGCAGATTAAGACCAGATGATGCTGTAACTTACATCGTAAATGACTCTTTGGACAAGATCGTACTCGCCCTCCAGAGAGGAGTCCAGCAGCAAGGCCAGAGGGCTGAACTGGACCCTCACACCACGGTCATTCCTGTCTGGACCAGTTTTACGGAGAATAGAGCGTTTCCCCTGAGAGACAGAGTAGAACGGCAGTGAAAGATGAATCTGATTTATTTGTAGTTATTATTTAGGCACACTGTATCATAAGAATCTTGACACCATTACTCACAGGAGGCACTGAGACCTGTCCAGTGATCTCTGGTGGTTGTAAGTTGAGGGACTCATCCCTATGCTCTGTCTTGCCACCACTGGGGTACGGTGGAGGTGGATATGGAGGAAACTCTTCTGGAAAGTAGTCCTTGTGAGCTAACGTGGACGAGCATTCCTTTTCATCTTCCTTGTCCTCCAGTGGAGGGGGCAGGAAGCCACAGGAGCTAGGATCAGGTATAGGTGCACGTGGGGGCAGTGGAGGTGGAGCTTTGCTGTCATTGGGGCTTTGAGATGATTGTTGCTTCAAGCTGTTTATGCAGTTGTCTTCGTTTATGGAGGATGCATCTGTCCCACCTATCCTGTCCTCGGAAACATATGTCCCTGCTGCGCTGACTGTCTCCATGGGGATGGTTTCCATAGCAGCCAGAGTGGTCTTTTGGTAGAGCAGTTTCAGGATGTTGGGTCCAGACGGACCTTCAGGCTCCGTGATAGAGTTGCGTTTCTTCAGAGGTCGAGGGACAGCGTGCAGCCGGCGGCGAACAGCCTCGAGGTCAGCATCATTGGGGTTTTTGTGTGGGTTGGACAGGAAGGGGAGGAGTTTGGTGGGGCTTAGAGGCCGAGGGGTTGCACGTTCTATTGTGTCACTTTCTCCTGTACTTTGCAAATTGTTTTCAGCCTCGTTTGTGTCGGACCCACAAAATCCAGAATTTATGGCAGTGTTGTCTGAGCTGACTGTTTGCTGCCCCCCACTGGTTGCTACTGGTTTTCCATACACTGGGGAAAAATAAACAAAAAATAATCACTAATAGTTTAAAAATACTTCAAGGGATGCACAATATTATCTGCATGTCTGCATGGCTAATATGCATTTTCAAAGGATAATGTAGGCAGTAGACAAAACATGCTGATAAAAATCAAATCTAGCTCGGTTGTGGCTAACATCAGGATTGTGGATGGGAAGAAATTATCCAAACTTGTTTAAGTTTGTAGTTTGGATTTGACATGATGTGTAAAGATCATCATGTGAGACATAAAACAATAGTTTAAACAAATTTTTCCAAGTGACCCTGATTTGGGTTATCGTGAGTTTTTACCAAATTACCTGGGGGCTTGCTGCGGGGGAGTGTGCCCTGGCCTGGTTGGTACCCCTTTCCTGGAGTAGCTTGTTGGGTGTACATGGAGTAGATGGATGAAGCTGCCAGAGACTGAGGCTTCTGCAGAACAGGAGCAGGGCCATCTGAGAGGTCAGGGGTGTATGGTCGAACAGTAGCAGCTGGGGGGCTCTCCTGTTTGTTGGGCAAAGGGAGGGTGTTGCTGTGGATGGACAGGACTCCAGGAGCCTTGAGGTGACCACCAACAGGCCTAACCTTCTTACCGGGGAACGTCCCAGTGTTATACAACGGCTTGGACAAGGTTGATTTTGGCTTACTAGGAACTGGAGGTGGCAGCATCATCTTGGACAGACTTTTACCTGAGGCCTGTTTGTGAGAAACAAAGCAGCCTTATTGTGGATACTATGAAAACTAATGCCGAGTGCTGGGATTTGTAGCTGAGACTGAATTGTTAAACTGAAAATGATTAGAATAAAAGCTAAAATGATCAAAACAGAAGTTGAAGGCTAAAGGTCGTTTCATACTACATTCAAAGCTGAACAGTCGGCTCACTGTCACGTGGTTGTGGGACGTACGTTTTCACACACACCTCGTCCATGAGACACGGCACAGAGCTCTTGGGAAACCCCTCCTGAAGCAGTATCTGTCAAGGCACGGGTTTCTTCCCGCCACTCTGACCCTGCATCTGCCATTTAGCCACATATCTGCCATTGAGAGCACCACACTTTTCAGCAGACGGACTCCTTTGTGCACGATCTCTGTGCACTTTCCATCCAGGAGTTTTTGGCCATGTGACTCTTTCTAAGTTTGTCTGCAAGTCGTATTTTCTGACTGTCTTGGCCAACTGTTTAAAGCTGTCCGTGTTGCTTGCAGGTACAACAGCTGGCTTCTGGAAGTGGAGTAGTTGAAGCAAAATGACTATTGCTCTCTGAGTGCTTTTACACAAGTACGCCCACAATCTTCTGACCAGTCACCCAATACTTTGCTCATACTTCTGTGACAAAACGTTCGGCCTGGGCCTTGCGTCGAGAAGGGACAGACAAAAGCTAATCTGAGAACAAAACAACCTAACTAACTATTTCAATGAGAGCTGATTTCTCAGCTTTGGATGGGGTATGAAACACAGTTAAACAGCAAAACAAAATCTAAAAATAAAGCCAGTATGCTAAAGTTGATTTTTTTTTTTAAAAGCACAACACTTTTCTTCATTCATTTCAGTGAGAAAAATGTAAATACATGTAAATACTTCTTTCTTTCACAGAACAAGAAATCTTAGTCATCACTCAGCATTAAGACAACTAGTACAAAATGAGTCAATTTAGTGGATAGTATAAATATTGATACAATCAGAAAAATCTCAATTATCTATTAACATGATGCAGTAAAAAGTACAGCAGTCCCTATTTTATCACAGGAGTTTCGTACCCTGAAGCCTCGCAATAAGTGAAAAACCGCAAAGTAGGAATAGTAGTACAAGTAGTAAATAGTAGTTTATTTAAGTATAAATAAATATGTATATAAATAACGATATACAGGTCCTTCTCATAAAATTAGCATATTGTGATAAAGGTCATTATTTTCCATAATGTAATGATAAAAATGAAACTTTCATATATTTCAGATTCATTGCACACCAACTGAAATATTTCAGGTCTTTAATTGTTTTAATACTGATGATTATGGCATACAGCTCATGAAAACCCAAAATGCCTGTCCCAAAAAATTAGCATATCATGAAAAGGTTCTCTAAACAATCTATTAACCTAACCATCTGAATCAACAACGTAACTCTAAACACCTGCAAAAGATTCCTGAGGCTTTTAAAAACTCCCAGCCTTGTTCATTACTCAAAACCACAATCATGGGTAAGACTGCCGACCTGACTGCTGTCCAGAAGGCCATCATTGACACCCTCAAGCAAGAGGGTAAGACACAGAAAGAAATTGCTGAACAAATAGGCTGTTCCCAGAGTGCTGTATCAAGGCACCTCAGTGGGAAGTCTGTGGGAAGGGAAAAGTGTGGCAGAAAACGCTGCACAACGAGAAGAGGTGACCGGACCCTGAGGAGGATTGTGGAGAAGGGCCGATTCCAGACCTTGGAGGACCTGTGGAAGCAGTGGACTGAGTCTGGAGTAGAAATATCCAGAGCCACCGTGCACAGGCGTGTGCAGGAAATGGGCTACAGGTGCCACATTCCCCAGGTCAAGCCACTTTTGAACAAGAGACTGTGTCAGAAGCATCTCGCCTGGGACTGCTGCTGAGTGGTCCAAAGTTATGTTCTCTGATTACAGTAAATTTTGCATTTCCTTTGGAAATCAAAGTCCCAGAGTCTGGAGGAAGAGAGGAGACACATAATTTACATTGCTTGAGGTCCAGTGTCAAGTTTCCAGTCACTGGGGTGCCATGTCATCTGCTGGTGTTGGTCCACTGTTTTATCAAGGGCAGGGTCAATGCAGCTATCAGGAGATTTTGGAGCACTTCATACTTCCATCTGCTGAAAAGCTTTATGGAGATGAAGATTTCATTTTTCAGCACGACCTGGCACCTGCTCACAGTGCCAGAACCACTGGTAAATGGTTTACTGACCATGGTATTACTGTGCTCAATTGGCCTGCCAACTCTCCTGACCTGAACCCCATAGAGAACCTGTGGGATATTGTGAAGAGAAAGTTGAGAGAACAAGACCCAACACTCTGGATGAGCTTAAGGCCGCTATCGAAGCATCCTGGGCCTCCATAACACCTCAGCAGTGCCACAGGCTGATTGCCTCCATGCCACGCCGCATTGAAGCAGTCATTCATGCAAAAGGATTCCAGACCAAGTATTGAGTGCATAACTGAACATGATTATTTGAAGGTTGGTGTTTTTTGTATTAAAAACACTTGTCTTTCATTGGTGGGATGAAATATGCTAATTTTTTGGGACAGGCATTTTGTGTTTTCATGAGCTGTATGCCATAATCATCAGTATTAAAACAATTAAAGACCTGAAATATTTCAGTTGGTGTGCAATGAATCTGAAATATATGAAAGTTTAATTTTGATCATTACATTATGGAAAATAATGACCTTTATCACAATATGCTAATTTTATGAGAAGGACCTGTATATCATGATATGTTTTTTGTATAAAACTTGCAATAGAATTTTTTTTAAAGCACAGGGTGTCCTTTGGCCATCATTTATTTTGAAAACTGATAGAACCACAAATAATCTCAAATAAGAAAATTCCACCACTAGGTCCAGAGAGTTTTTAATTAATAAACAAATCAAGTATTAGGCTTCTTTCTTGTAGTGCAAAACAGTGCAAAAGATATCAAATGTAGTTTTAGCCATATGTTTTAAACAAAAGAATATGTTGTTAACTCAACAGTTTCCAGTCTTCTCACTTAGGAAATGAACAGCAACAGAGCAGAATTTTACTCTGAAAACACTTCACCCTCCAACCCTCTAGTGGGCGTCTCCTTCCGCTTTAAGGAGAGCTGACACAAAATGGCGACCAGTTTCCTCTGTGGCTCTGACGAGAGGGTCTCGCAGTAAAATCACACAACACAGCGTTCTTTTCACAGATCAGAGAGCAGGTTTCTCTAAAGATGACCAACGCTTACTTTAACTTTTGACAGGAAAAAAAAAAACTTTCGAGGGAACACAGCGTTTTGCGCATGCGTCTGAAAATGTCAACACTACGGCAAGCCGGCCGTAGTTAGCTTGTAGCTTTGCTCTTTAGCTCTCGAAGAAAATACTTTAACATCTCTTACGCACAGTTTTCAACTAAAAAAAGTAACGATTAAACTGACAACTCTGATTTTACATCAGACACAGCATTACTGCGGTTAGCCGGTAGAAGACAGATCTCTATCGTAGGCTAAATGTCTATCGTTTCTACCGTGTACCGTATATATTGCACATTCCTAATATTAAGGCGTTTTAAACCCTTCTCACACTCTTGCAATATTCTAAACAATGTTTCTAAACGCTAAAGCTCTAAAAGAGCACAGCATGTCATGATCTCAACTCTCCCACAGCTGCTCTCTGCCACATGTCAGCGCTCTCGGACACGCCCACTTCTTGGCTGCAGAGATATGACACACTGCAGGAGGAAGCTTCTCAGCAGGTGCTAAATAATTTCAAATAATTTATTTAAATAAAAATTCCATGCTGATCGTGCGGCTCAACCATCAATCATCTTACTTTGAAAAACCGCAATAGAGCGAGTCCGCGAAAAATGAACCACAAAGTAGCGAGGGACTACTGTACTTTGAACTACTTCATGATGTGGCTAAAGTCTCGTTCAAACATATTATGGAAATATAATGTTGTTTGGATTTATTTTAAATCTCTAAAAGGTGACCACTACAAGAAAAGTGTTCTACTTTCTGATCATATTCCTTATGATGGTCAGCTCACACAAGGTTAGTTGACTGTTGGGAGCTAATATTTTGATGCGATATATAAATATTAATATTTGAGTAAAAATATAGGAATAAGAGCGTACCGATACCTGATTATCCCTGAGCAGGTTTTCGGTGGTGTGACTGGATCGTGAGGGGAGGGGAGGCGGGAGGTCCAAATCAGAAAGGCTTTTCTGGTCTCTCAGCATCTCACCACCTGCATGAGATATTTTATTGTTCTTTCTGTGAAAACTTTTAATTAAAAAAAGTTTCAAATAACAGACTATTCATCAATCTGACAATTCCTCGCTTCCTTATTTCCTGCTTTTAGTGTAGTCGTGTATCTTCCATTTATTTTCTGTTCTTGCTCCAGCCTGTGCTGCGTCACACAAAGCTGGTGCCCATCTCCAGAGGCCAGCAGGTAGGAGGTCAGGTACATCCTGGACATGTGACCAGTTCTCAGGGCCACAATGTTTTTTTTTCTTTCTTCACCAAATATGTTCCAGTCCTAAACCAGAACCAGGGTTTGTTTAGGCAAGTATCTCCTGAGGTGCAACAAATTTCAGATGGAATTCACAGTAAAGTTTCCCAAAGATGTCTGGAAACATTCGTGGGGGTTTTCAGTCTCTTTGTCTCCCTCACAGGGGACCATGTATCTGGATTTGAGCATGTTTAAAAACCTAATGTTTTAAAATGTTTTTTTGTGGGCGTGTCAAACTTCTCAGTTGAGTCTCTGGAATTTGAGATCACTGGAGCATCATTTTTATGAACTACCATTGGTTTATATGTTTGCTACTGTATGGAAACATGTATGCACATACTGACACTATAAATCGTTTTGTACTTACAAAATGAAATGTTTAATGAAACTTCCAGTAATCACTCAGTCTTGGTGCAGAGCTTTGCTGTCTACTTTATGTTTCCTCCCTGAGCTCTACCTCTGACATGTGTTAGTATTCGACAGGCTCTTCAGTCTAAGTCCCCACCTGCTACTGTCCCTGCAGAGAGTCGCTCCAGCACCGTGAGCCCTTGACACCACTTGGGGATCACCTCTTCATGTCACCAGATAAGTGGAACAATGATATCAGTTTGAGCAATAACAAGTCTGTGATGTTCATATCTGTTCAAGGACGCACCCACACCTAACCTACATTTTGATTATTTTCTCCAATTCTTTCAATTAGTGCAGAAACATGCATGTGCCACAGGCTCGCTGCACTTGTAGCAGATGCTGTTTGCAGAGAAAGACCAGCCTACCCTGCTTTTGTTTTTAGGCTAACAGTTGTTTGTTTATGGAGTTTAATATCTGATTTGAAAAGGAATGTGTTTTTAATGTCCTCTGTCTTGAGGTCTGTTGCTGTTTAGAAACTGCTCAAGTAGCGAGCTGAGGTGGTATAATGTGCCCAGAGTTACACAGAAAAAATGTGCATGACCTGGAATGCAGATTTGCAAGTCATCCACACAAAGACAGGCTGCGATTTTCAAAAATTATCCCTGGAACGTGCTCCTGCGCAGTTCGTTGGTCACATGGTCACAAACAGAATTCAGTGAGGCTGCACGGGAACATCTGTCAATTTTCTAACAATTCTGCTTGACCCAGCACAGTGACATTAGGAACTGTTTTTATGTCCAGATCTACTGGATGTGAAACTCACATTCTTTGCAATTGCTGCTTATTTTAGTTTTACGTTATATAAATTAATTTTTTGTCCTGGTGCAATGTGGCAGCCAGTTCAAACAATGATAACTCAAAAACTGCAGTAATATGAAGTCATGATGAGGTCAAGTTATTCCACTTCTAATTTGACTTCTTATTCAGGATCAAGCAAAAATACAGTATTTCATCTTAAATTAGGTAAAGTAAAAAGTGAAATTTCTTCTTCTTCTTTCGGCTTTTCCTTCTTCAGGGGTCGCCACAGCGAGTCATCCTCCTCCATCTCTGTCCTCTGCATCCTCTGTCCTCACTCAAAATACCTTCATGTCCTCTCTAACTGCATCCATATATCTCCTCTTTGGCCTTCCACTCAGCCTTGTCACTCCTAAGGAGAACCTTAGCATCTTCATTTCTGCCACTTCCAGTTCTTTCTCCTGTCTTTTTGTCAATGCCACTGTCTCCAGACCAGACAACATAGCTTGTCTCACCACTCTCTTGTAAACTTTTCCTTTGACATTTGCTGACACCCTTTTGTCACAAATCACTCCTGAAACTTTTCTCCATCCTGCCTGGACTCTCTTTTTCACTTCTTTACCACATTCTCCATTTTCCTGGACAGTGGACCCCAAGTCCTTGAAGTCCTACACCTTTGTGACCTCTGCTCCTTGTAGCCTCACTGTTCCACCTCCTCCCTCTCATTCACACACATGGACTCTGTCTTACTACGGCTGACTTTCATTCCTCTTCTTTCAAGTGCATACCTCCACATCTCCAAGTTCTCTTCCAACTGTTCCCTGTTCTCACCACAGATCACAATGTCATCTGCAAACATCATCGTCCATGGGGATTCCTGCCTGACCTCATCTGTTAGTCGGTCCATCACCAGAGCAAACAAGAAGGGGCTTAGAGCCGATCCATGATGCACTCCCACCTCCACCTTGAAGCTATCTGTCACTCCTACAGCACATCTCACCACTGTCCTGCTGTCCTCATACATGTCCTGCTGTCCTCATACATGTCCTGTACCAGTCTAACATACTTTTCTGCCACTCCAGATTTCCTCATGCAATACCACACCTCCTCTCTTGGCACTCTGTCATATGCTTTTTCTAAATCCACAAAGACACAATGGAGTTCTTTCTGACCCTCTCTGTTCTTCTCCATCATCATCCTCAAAGCAAAGATGGATCTGTGGTGCTCTTTCTTGGCATGAAACCATCCTGCTGCTCACAGTCACCTCTCGTCTTGCTTCCACAACTCTCTCCCAGATCTTCATCGTGTGGCTCATCAACTTAATTCCCCTGTAGTTGCTACAACTCTGTACATCACCCTTGTTCTTAAAAATGGGCACCAGCACACTTCTTCTCCATTCCTCAGGCATTTTCTCACCCTCAAATATGTCATTGAATATTTGAGCCAAAAACCTCACTGCCATCTCTCCAAGACATTTCCAAACCTTCACTGATCATCAGGTCCTACTGCCTTCCCCATCTTCATTCTTTTCAGAGCTTTCCCTCACTAATCTTTCCCACTTCCTGGTCCACAGTTTCTATGACCTCTACTCTTCTTTCTCTTTCATTCTCTTCATTCATTAGCTCCTCAAAGTGCTCCTTCCATCTTCCCGTCACACTCTCCTCACTTGTTAGAACATTACCATTCCTATCTTTAATAAGCCTAACCTGCTGCACATCCTTTCCAGCCTGATCCCTCTGTCTTGCCAATCGGTACAAGTCCTTCTCACCCTCTTTAGTGTCCAGTCTCCCATACAACTCATCGTACGCCCTCTGCTTTGCCTTAGCTACTTCCCTCTTTGCTCTACGTCCCATCTCCTTATATTCCTGTCTCCTCTCTTCAGTCCTCTCACTGTCATATTTCTTCTCGTCTAACCTCTTTCTTTGAACATCTTCCTGCACTTCACTATCCCACCACCAGTGGTTTCCTTATCACCCATTCTCTGTCCAGATGACACACCAAGTACCTTCCTACCTGTCTCTCTAATTACTGTTGCTGTAGTAGTCCAGTCATTTGGAAGTTCTTTCTTACCACCCAGAGCCTTTAACAGCTCCTCTCTGAATTTCTCACAACATTCTTCCTTCTTCATCTTCCACCATTTGGTCTTCTCTGATTTTACTCTTCTTTTCTTCTTCACAACAACAGTCATTCTACACACAACCATCCGATGCTGTCTGGCCACGCTTTCCTCTGCCACAACCTTACAGTCTCCAATCTCCCTCAGGTTTCCTCTTCTACACAGAATGTAGTCGACCTGCGTACTCCTTCCTCCACTCTTATAGGTCACTCTATGTTCCTCCATCTTTTGGAAATAGGTGTTGACTACAGCCATTTCCATTCTCTTGGTAAAATCCACCACCATCTGTCCTTCCTGGTTTCTTTCCTTGACACCAAACCTACCCATCACTTCCTCATCCTCTGTTTCCTTCACCAACATGTCCATTCAGGACTGCTCCGATCACCACTCTCTCCTCCCTGGGAATACTCTCTATCACTTCATCCAGATCTTTCTCCTCCACATCACATCCAACCTGTGGAGCATAACTACTGACGATGTTTAGCATCAGACCTTCTACTTCTACCTTCAGGCACATCACTCTATCTGACGCTCTCTTCACCTCTACTACATTCTTTGTCAACTCCTCCTTCAGGACCACCCCTACTCCATTCCTCTTTCTATCCACACCATGGTAAAACAGTTTGAACCCTGCTCCAAAGCTGCGAGCCTTGCTGCCCTTCCACTTGGTCTCTTGGACACATAAAACATCTACCTTCCTTCTCTGCAAAAAGTGAAATTTAATGTGTAATTTTTTAAATGATGCTCACATTTTATTAGGTTGCTGGTCTCCTCTCCAGTGGTTCTGTACTCTGGCCCAGTAAAGAGTTGTGGCTGAGTTAGCACCAGTTTTTTAGTGCCAAAGTTTATAGTGGTGGAAATGGAAAGACCTGGTGCTACTTTAGCTCTGGCCCAGGTTTAGCACTGGAACGCATTTGGTGGAAAAACACCACAGACACAAGCACCCACTGGCTAATTTAGGCCCCGTCCACTCAGAAACACTGCCTTTAAAAAAAAACACACGCCTTTCTGTGCCGTTTCTAAACCTATTCCTGTAAACAGCATCATTTCTACAAATGTTTCCATCCACACAGAAACACAGAAAAACAATTCAAAACACTGCATAAACTACACCAGGCCTGTATGTGGCGCTGTAACGCTGCCATGAAAATACACCTAAAACATGAAGGAAGACATGGAGCAGACTCTAACTAGAAGATGAGAATCAGGACGTCTAATAGGGCGGCTGTGGCTGAGTGGTTAGAGCAGTTGTCCTCCAGTGCAAGAGTTGGAGGTTTGATTCCACCAGCAGTCACATGATGAAGTGTCCCTGGGCAAGACACTGAACCCCTCATCTCCTCTGATGTGTGTCCCATCAGTGTCTGAATGTGATCTAAAGCTCTGATTAGTCTCTAGAATGATTTGTTCAATTAGCTTTGTAGAGATCTAGTATAGAGCTGTATGAATGGGTAAATGAGGCACAGATTGTTGTAAA